GCCACTGAGAGTACACCTTGGATGACTCAGTGGATAACATTTCTTTTTTCTCCTGGCTTCAACTTCTCTGGTGTACCTCATCAGCCGAGTGGCCAGGGCTGTGATCCTTTGCTTGGCAGTCTCTAAGGCCTCAGATATGGACAGTGTGTTGTACTTCTTAGGTACCTCTTACTTCATCACGCCTTTCTGCAGTTCCGATAGCTGACTAATTTCTCTCCTTGTTCTTGGTCTCCAGCCTCCTTCTCCATGGAGGATACTGCTCCTTATGGCCTTTGTTAAACTTACAGCTTGTATATCAGCTTGTTTGTCTCAGTAGGGATTGTTCTTGCTGCTGCATTCACATCCTCTAATAGACTTTCAGAAGGCACTTCACTTAGTCTTGGTAACTGGCCACGGAGGATCCAGGTGTCTATCTTGGTCATGAGCTTCAATTTCAGGTCAGTTGCTCTTGCATTAAGCTCATCTGGGCTTGTTATTGGGACCTGTTGTCCTGGCTACCCCTTGCCATAGCATTCATGTTGTACCTTGTCAATCTCTAGTTGTGATAGCAGGTGCTTCTTGCGGATGTTAGAACACTGAGCTACTAGTTGTTTCAGTTTTTTTTTTTTGATTAATTTTGTATTGTTAATGTTTACCTTTTCTTTTGAGTTACCGTGTTTCCTGGTCCATTGATGAGGGGGGTGGTTCAGCCAAAAGATTGGATTGAGGAAGCAGCAGGTTTAAATACCTCCCACTAGGCCTGAACTGCACCAAGTGCCCAAAATATAAGAAAGGGGGGAGTTTGGGAGAAATTTATTGTTTATTTGTTGGTAGTTTATGTTAGAACTTTATTTGTCAAGTTAAGTTAATTTCTTTATATTTAAAAGAAATATTTAGTTGCGAACGGACAAATTGTGTGTGTTATTGGTTTGGCCAGCCAATATATATGTTCCCTTGTGTGTGTCATTTGTCAGGTCAGTTGGTTTTGTTGAGGTATTAGACAGTTCATTTTGCTGTAGTTTGAGTTTCCTTATCTTTTGTTGACCTCTTTTAGGGCCCAATTTATCTGATGTTAATTTTGTCTTTTTCTTGCTTTTGGGTTAATAAAAAACCCTTTATTTTGAACTTTGAAAGCTGTGTCTTTTGCCTTACTGCTTGGTCCCTGACAATTCCTCAAACAGGGCAATGGCATTAACCTATACACATCACACACCATGAAACTGCATCCATCCACTTCTTACATTAAAAATCCATTAAATTATCCATTAATAATGATCCGAATAATGTGCTACAATGAAAATTAACTGACGTTTTGTAATCTATTAAGGTTGCAGCTGGAAGCATTATGTTTTTGGGTGGTCCATCCATCTATCCATTCTATTCTCGTGATAGTGATATGTCAGGAACATACAACAAGGGAATTTCTTCACATTTGGCACAAGTGTCCACTTTGACTCAAGAATGAACTGATTAGATTTTGGTGGTCAAAGGTCAATGGTCACCGTGTGCTCATGGCTGTCCCATTTCCATGAACCTGACTGGTTGGTGGAGGCATACAACCATGAAGCAATGATTCCAGTTCCAATATATTATCTACTTAGGGGTTAAAACAAATTTAAAATTGATTAACATGAATGCTAAAGGGGAAAGGGCCTGGTTTTTCAATTTCAATTAAAACTCATTGATGGCTTTCATAACATTTGACAAATTGTAATAATAACAATAATATTGAATTGATATGTTTAAGTCCCGCTAGGAGGAGTACCTATAATGTCAAAACATTTCACTTAAATCAAATGTCAATCTAATGTGCCACTAGATACAAAGTCAGGAATTCAGTAGGTCGTGAGAATGCCACAGATGTCATGTCATCATTCCAGCTGTTAGGTTATTTCAGTCTAACTCAAAGTGATGGGCCGACAGACCGGCATCCCTAACACAATAGAGGACCTAGTGTAAATCAGAGTGTTTATATGAGCTAAACTATTACTTGGACAGTGTCTGGTCATTCTGCCAAGAATACAATCAAGTTAGTCAACAATACCACAAGATAGTGCACACACCTTAAAAACTGCTGCTGCTGACTGTATCTACCTGGATGTAAATGCTTTTTATTTTATTTACAACGCATGCTGTTTTTCGTACTATAAACTAGTAGGCAAAGCTGGGAATGTTAAAACTTTTCACTTGAAAGCATGCATAGAAATGCCTATTGTTTAGCTAACCAAAAGGCCCTTTGCCAAGCAGAGCATCCTTAGCTTGCTGAACCCCTGCACAGCAGTGGAACAGAGCATCCGGGAGACTCTACGGCAGCAGTGGCCTCCTTCACACAACATAGGCCCTAATCAGGTTATGTGTGGTTTAATAGCCTAAATGGAATCCTGGTTTCAGCTAATCAGGGACAGCAGCCAAGCCAGAGGCCCAAGCCTCCACCTATTTTGACCCTTACTTAAATGAATGAGCTGATTTTTAAATGCTCCTTCCTTCAAGAGTCATCTAAGAGACTGTCCAAAATCCTTCAATTGGCAGCAGTTGATGGAGGGTAGAGTACCTCAACAAACGTTATGTAGCCAGATTATTTTGAACTATTTCTTGTGAGCCTAATGATCCAGCATGCACTGAATGATACCCTTCCCCACAGAGATAAATTAGCTTCACACACAGTGTCCTGTTGGCACAGATACTGACTAGAGCAACAAATGTGGATTCATCCACGTTTGTTGCTCAGTCACCAACAAATATTCTATTTGCTCTTGTTAAATGTTGTTTTAATAAATGCAGTAATCTGATAATTTGGGAAATTAGTCAGCCTCTTTTAAAAACACCACCATACATACATACATACATACATTTGTTTAGCCGTTCTAAAGATTTATGTCTTCAGTAGGATCTACTGGGTTTGAAGCTGAGAAACACAAACAGGGTAATAAAGGCAGAAAATTAAATGTAGGTCTATTTCATGGGATTTGTGGAATAAAAAAAAAACATCCAGAATAACACCAGCCTTTTCCTTTAAGAGGTCACAAGCCAACAGATTAGTAGGCTGAAGACCACTTAAAATAATTCTGGTTCTCCTTGTCAGACTATCATACCAAGATACAATTAAATGAGACTGCTTTGAATCTGTGCTCAATTATTTCTGCTTCCAAAGGACCCAAACCAGCAACCTCTTGCTTTCTGGACCAAGAAGTCTCAAATACCAAGATGGAAACCACTGTGATAAATCAATAGATACAATCGAAGTGATAGCAGGTGGTAAGAGCAAACACTGGAGAACCGCTGGGATTCTTATAAACAACCACTTGCACAGTAGAGAAGCACAGTTGTCCAGTCATATGATGTTTGTTCAGATGCAATGGAGATGGTTTACCTGCTATTACATGAGTCTGAACTATTCTGTCACACATTACAACTGACACTGCAGACCATCTTTCACCACATGAAATGGTCTTCCAGCTCAATTATGGAGAGCGCTTAAGCTCTGACAGCAGAAATGTGTTTCTGAGGACAACCAGACCACAGCCGCCTCCTCAGCTATGACACCAGCAACATAGCCACTGACACACCCTGAAAACATCTCGTTTCATCCATGTTTTTTCTGTCACTGAATCCATGTGATTTCTGCTGTATGCTCTCTCAGCCAGATGCACACATCAGCGGGTGGAAAGGCCTGGAATCCCCGTGCATCAATCTGTGATATGACTGGTCATGACTGCAATGACGCACAGGCAGAGTGTTAATATTTATATCCTCTGTCATTATACTAAATGTTCCTATGAGGACTATGACTCTTACTTCTTACTGGCTGTAACATAAACACAGGATTATAGTAATCTGTACTGTAACATTACTGCTTTCCTGCCCTCAATCATGTTAATATAATGTGCAGTTTAATATTAGGTATACATGGCTATACAACTGATAATTACTTTCAGACAGATTCGTCTAGGGCTGAAAGGATTTACTGATTAGTGGACCAGCACAAAAATATAAAGCAAAACAAGCAACTTGAGGACACAGCCCTGGGCTACTGAAAACTGTCATGGAAATGTTTCACTATATTCTGACATTTCATAGGCTAATCAATGATCGGATTAGACAGTAAAATAATTGACAGATTGATAAAAGAAATATCCAAAATTACAGCCCTTATTCACTAGATTATTTTGATGATTTAGTGGTAAATTGGTTAGTCTAAAAAAAAGATCCTAATGTACTGAAATTGCCTATTAGGATTTCTCAGAACATGAAGTACATGTTCTCTAGATGTCGTTTTTCCACCTAAACATATTCACTTTACAACTCTATAAACATTTGAGAAGCTGGACCCAGAGAAATGTTTTCAGTTGGTAAATATGCTCAGCTGAAAAAAATGAACTCATTTTAAACCTCAATGTCCTGTCATCTCACTTATTTTACAGTAAAGACACACTGTTTACACACTATGCATGTAGGCATAACCTCCATCCTTTGTTCAAATGTATTAAATCATTCTATTGGGGCTGCAGGTATTATTTTCATTACTGTTTAACCTGACAGCTATATTCTCAATAAACTGACTGTTTGGTCAGACCATTATAAAATGCCCATTATAATTTCCTCTGAAGGACAACTGGGAACAACTGTTTGTTTTCTCTTTTTTTGCTTGAAAACTATTAACCAATTAATACATAGTTGCTCAACTAAAAGCCCGATCACTTCAGCTCTACATCCTGCAACAAATTTAGACAATTTCAAATCAACAATGATAAATAGGCACACAACACAAGTGGCTGTATCTGCTAAACCAGAAGAGGTGATCAATACCACCAAATACCACGAGGTCATAAACTAAGATGATCTCTATTACTGTGTCAAATGCAGTACAGAAATACACAGAAAACGAATGTGTGCAGACGGTGACTCTAGTGTAACCTGCTGACTGACTGATACACAGTCACGTTACAACATCCCCATCGTTTCATTGAGGAGTGGGTTAAAGGGTGGTTCTCCTCGCACCACACTAGATGAATGTCACTCACCTGTCAGACAGGTGCTGAGCGCCAACAGGGCCGCAAACATCGCAGCCCGGCCGAGCAGCGGGGCCCGCATCCTGGGCAGAGCTCCCACGAACGACGGGAGGCACGGACACCGACCAAAGGAGGAGCAGGAGGAAGAGGAGGAGGCAGCAGCGGTGGTGGAGGGTAGTCGGTGCTGATCATCCCCCCATCCCCCGGTGCTCAGGGAGGAGAGGAGACAGAAAGCGAAGTAAATGACCAGGAAAAAGGGCAGTTTAGGAGGCTGCAGGCAGCAACAAGGATTATCCGGGCTCTGCTTTGTATTTGCCGCAGTGTCTGTTCCCTGCCGGAGAACTGGTGACTGCTCCTACTAATGGTGCGTTCGTCTGCCGAGCTGTAGCAAAGGCACTAAGGTCTGTGACGTCAACACGCTGCGGCTCCCCCCGCGTCACTTTCAGGTGCTGCTAAAGAGCAAAACGCCCACGTTTAAAGGGAACTCGCCACTACCTGGTAAAATGCCACTACAGGTGAAGGGATGTAGATAAATCCCCGAGCGACGTCCTCCTGCACCACATTTCCTATGGCACTGGGTTTAGGAGACAATTTAGAGGAACACCTTTATTTTTAAATAGAATATAGACACAGTGGGTAGGCTACTGTGCACCTGTGGTGTAGTGTAAATAAGTTACTCAAGTAATAACTACACATTAGCAGGGCACCTACTCGTACTTCTACTCATCTACATGCACCTGACAGCTAGTTATCCTACATGTTACTTTACAAATACAGATTTTCTAGAAAAACATATAGTGAACTTCTATGAGACACTGTTGTCGATTAAACTGCCAGTGTTTGCAGTACAAAACACTAAATACAGTCAGTCACAGGGACCATTTTTCAGCTAAGTAGCCTACTATAAACTACTTTTAGTTTACATTTGTCTGATACTTGCATACTTTCACATAAGCAACATTTTCAATTCATAACCTTTATTTATAGCATTTTTACCTTACTTAAAAATGATTGATTGACACAGTGATACAGTCCACTTCTACAAATGGTCATATTAGATATTGAAAGTGCTGACATGCTGGCCTAATGCATGGTGCCACACAGCAGCAGCTAGAACTGTACAGGTACTGTATGAAGAACCAGCCCCCCCCTCAAGTGGTTTCTTTTAAATCTTCACTGAAATTATTAACAGGTTCTATAAACCACAGACTGAAAACTACAAATTGTACAGAAATTATATTTAGAAGCTAAAAATTAAACAGCATTTTTTTGGATTTGTACTGTGGAAATAGCTGGTATTTGATAGACAAACATTTTTGTTTAGAATGCATTTTTAAATTAATATAAACCAAGTGTTTCCAAGGGCATGGGTTTGGTTTTTTTAATGACTTTCTTGCCAGACTGCCAAAATAAACTGTTGGGTATGTGCATTTGATCTCTATCAGTTTCCTCTTTCATGTGCACACAAAGAGCCTGAGTCTGTGAGGGGCTGTCTAAAGCATTCATCAGATAAGTTACCTCTCACATAGTTTCTCACTGAATTGAATGGGAAAGTGTGTTAAATGTTTTGACCCTTCACCAGTGCAGTTTCTGTACTGTGATGGACTTTAAAACCAGACTGAAAATCCTCAAACAAGTCACTCATGTGCAAATGGTCACATAACTGCTTTGCAGCAGCTTTTTTCAAAGATTTTAGAAATAAAGGGGAGATTGGATATTGGTCTATAATTGCCTAGAACACCTGGGTCAAGAGTAGGCTTTTTAAGTAGAGGTTTAATTACAGCAACCTTAAAAGTCTGCGGAACTTGGCCTGTTTAAAAGAGAGAGGTTGATCATATCTAATATGGACATGTTGATAAACATGGGTAAAATGTCTTTGAGCAGCTTGGTCAAGATGGAGTCTAAGAAACATGTTGATAATTTAGATGAAGAGGTTGTTGAGTTCTCAGGGTTCAAGCCTGGCCCGACCCGGGGCCTTTCTGGCATGTTCTGTGTCTGCGTGGGTTCTCTCCAGGTACTCCGATCCCAGAACCAGCACCCACAGGTTCGGCATCCAGAGGTTTCCAGTCTCACCAGCTACCAAATATATCAGTACAAGCTCCACGGCACGTTGAGAGCAAACGTAGCCTCATGCTCTACCCAATCAACAGTCAAGTAGCTTCCCTCAGCTTCCTCATGTTGGTAAGGAACAAAGCACCCACTTCTGTTTACCTAGCCTGCTAACTGTGGGTCAATTAAATGGGATGCAGCTGTTACTGTATTATTGTATAGTTTTGTCTGCTGTCCTAGTCAGGGCTCCATTGTAAAAGGTTTCTAAACTCAGTGGTATTCCCCTGGTTAAATATAAAAATCTGCTTAACAAGTCAGAATATTCTATGAGCAAGGCCAGAAACATCCAGGAAAAATCAATAGGCTGTTCACTCTGACTACTCAACTACTTGGGGAGTCTGAGTGAAATGGTGATTTCTACAGTCTGTTAGCCTGATCTTATGGTTAGTTAAATTTTTAAAAAAAGTGTGTGTGCTAAAGAGAATGAGCAAAATTGATTTGTAAGTGGAACAGTCACACACACACCTACTATTCCTTGAGTAAAAACAACAAACACCACGAAGACTGATATTTCATCAATAATGATTTATTATCAATAACAAATATTTGTATCTCACTATAGTAAAATAAATCTAAAAGTAAACGGGACAAAAATAAGTGATAAATAAATAAAATGGGCTGGGGAGATAAGCAGAGGCACTGATGGAATTATAGAAATAAAAATTACACTGCGGTGATTCGCTGGTCCATAGAAGAATTTATACATAATATACACAAAATATCTTTTTAAAGGGGTAAACATGAAATAATATTACTCACACCAACACAAAGCAAGTCAAGTCATAAAATGTCAGTGTGTACATCGAGACAGTTAAGGAACTGTAATGCAAGATTGAAGGGAAAAAACCTTTAAGACTTTAACTCATGTGGTTCAGTAAAAAACTAACAAGCATTCTGGATGTTGTCACACTTGATTTGTGATGACCTCACTGAGTCTCACTAAATGCTCCTCAACTGGGGTGTTCTTGCAACTTGCCATGTGTTTATAACACACCACTAGGGGACTCGAGGCCATTCACTGTGCTCACAATTATACCAGGTGAAGAGAAAACGGTGTGGAACCTGTGTGGTTTGAAAGCTCAGAGTTAGCTGAAGATTTCCTGTAAGATCCAAAAGGTATGAAACTTGTTCAGAACAACACCAGAGCCCTGCTCAGTGAAAATAACGTGCCGAGTGATTACATGCCTGAAACCTGTGGAAACTGAAGACTGTGATTAAATTTGAAATAACAAAATAAAACCAAACAAAATGGCAGGATTGAGTTTTGGTCAAAATCATGGAAATCATTTCATCACTGATCTCTGGGCTCAGAGTCACTGATTTTGGTCTCTGCTTCTGGTGCAACAGCAACACTCGTCTCCTTCACCTCCTCGTGCTCCTCTGCGGGTAGCGAGGCCGCTCTGCTAGGGGCCACCTCGGCCCCTTCACTTGTAGGGGACAGGAAACCGCTGTCGTCATGTGGAGCTGGAGGTGAATCAGATGTCACCTCCGGAGGGCTCTGTGTTTCTGTAGAGCCAGATGGGCTTTCCTTGGGAGGATGTGGCAGTGGTGGCAATGCCTCCTCTGAAGCCTCCTGATTGGAGGGTGCTTGCTCCTCTATCATTGGCTGGCTGTCTTCACCTCTATTTGGTTCTAAGACTGAAGCACCTTTTGCAGCTGATTCATCCTTCAGTGGGACCTGCTCCTCTGGTTTGGCTTCCTCTTCCTTTAAGACAGAGCCATTTGACAACTCTGTGGGGTTCTCTGTAGTTTTGGGACCTGCACATCCAGTCTGCTCAGGAGAAGCTTTATCATCTTTGTTCTCTTCCCCATCTCGATCCTTCTCCTGCTCCTCGTCCCTCTCCGGGATCTTGTCCACACTAGGCACCTCCATGCATGACTCGTTGGGCAGGACAGAGGTGCCTTCCACCTGGATCATGGACACAACCTGCTTCATCCTCCTCTTCTTGTGAGACTCTCCGCCTTCACCTTCAGCATGCTCTCCTGCTCCATACTCCCCAGCCCAGTCGATGGGGTTTTCTCCCAGTAGGTGCAGGCTGGGGTCGCTGTTACTAAGGACAATGCTGTCCCTGTACAAGTTGTGTCTCCTTTGGACTGCTGCTTCCTTCACAGCTACAGGCAGAGAAAAGAGGTTTCAATGCAAGTCATAAAGGGGAAAAAAAACTGTAAATTAACTGATAAAATTACAAACAAAACAAAGACAAATTGTAGTTGATTCTTAAGTAGTTAGTAGTCTTATCTTCAGGGGTCTTGTAATTTTCTTTAAAAACATTCCTCCTAAAGGAACTCGGTGTAATTTTGTAGGACATTTCCTGGAAAGGACTAGATCAGCTAGTATTAATGCAGACAGTATAATGTTGATACACTTCCAGCATTTTAATTTCAATTATGTCTTGATTAATCAGTAGAGCCAGGTGAAAATCAAGTCCTAAATTACAGAAAGCACACAATTATATAAAATCCTTTCAAAAATTCTATTTCATCTGAGGTCTCAGATTTTTTTCAGTCATAACTGGAAAGCACAATAGCTATAGAAAATACGATAAAGCAAAATAAACTGGTTAACAGGAGAGCTACTGTGAACTGCAAGTGTAAAAATACACTTACAGCCACTATGCTATTCACTGCAACACTTCCACCTTAACATCTGTGTTTATGAAGCTCAAAATGTTTGTGAAATTGTCATAAATATACGAATTTAATGATAGGTGATGATATATTTTTGTCCTACCCAGCTACATACATGAGGGTCAGAATATCAGGAACACGTCTGAAAATAACGTAGTCCAGTACAATGCCAACTTTAACTACGACCTCAATAATAAACATATAATTTATAATAATTTATACATTTATGTCACAAAAATCTGAAACACTGAGCTTCAACACAGATGTTAAGGCAGAAGTGTTGCATTGAAGTGCATACAACTGTACAGGTGTACCTAATAAATTGGTCAGTAAGTGTATAAGACTGAGCGGATAATTTAAATCATTAAGTAGAACAGGTGAATGTGGAGGCCAAAATATGTTGAGACCAAAAAACTGTTTGATCAAACTCTGGCTGTTAGACAATGGGTATAAAAGATAGATTTCTGATATTTGATGTTTGGTTATTGTTATGTTTTATGGCCAATAAGAGGTTAATCTCATTTGTTTTGTCTGGAGTGTTGTTGTGGCTATAATGGTTTTGTTAATACCAATTGTGTTGGGAAAAAAGGTTGATTCCTAGAGACAATAAGATTATCTCATTTTTAAATTGTTTTGATCACACTTTTTCTTTTTTTTTTTACTACACTATAACAATTTGACAAGAAAAACAAAGGGACTGTTAATCAGCTTAACAGACACAAACAGGACCTAAAGTGGTATGTCCTGGGAGCACAGTCTGTGTGAGCTTTCCCAAACTCTTTTGGTTCATGTACCGTAGGTGCAGCAGTGCAAAGAGCAGAGGATCTGGGGATTACTATACACACTCACAGCCAATCACTGTACTGGTGTCATCCACAGCTGAGCTAGTCACAACAACAGTAGCTCAACAATTGGACAGGGGTTTCTTCAGGAAACCTTGTTCCATGGAAGGTGCACACTGTGACCACACTGCACCAAATGAGTGTGTTTGTTTATACACAGTTAATTAGAACAATGATAATATAAAGAATGAAAAAAGGCTAGTGAAGCAGCTGTACTTCTACTGTATCTCATGCAGCAAATAGTTATACAGCAAAACATTGTAGGGTTTGTAGCATAATGCAATACATTAAGAAAATTGCTGAAAAAAAAATAGCAAAACAAAGTTGGAAAGTAAGTCATAAGGCACATCTGGTAATCAGACTACACACATCAGATATGCGGTGAACAAGTTGAGTGTTACTTTGTAGCAGCTTGGTGTAATTTGCAAATGATTTAGTGAAGGTAAACACAGTGGGAGGCTGTGGACTATGACATTATGCTCTGACTTCAGCAGATTTATGAACATCTGTCCTGCTGCCTTCAGATGCCGCAGGGATTAACGAACAGACGGAGAAGCTTTTCATAGAGTCTAAAGCAGCTGAGGACACCAAACACTGTCAGAATCAATCATGCTCCTTTTAGATTAACGTAGACTGATTTACAGACCTCCCTGCTTTAACCACACTGAAAGTTCATTTTGATGCTGATGCTAAACTGTTTTTTTGGGTTCCTCTTTTCCCACCATGTGTTCTGCACTGAGCAAAATACCACACAGATGGACAAAGCAAATGTCATGGTCAGGAAAATATCAGCCTGTCGGAGCTACCCTTAATCTGGTGGTCGCACTGAAAATTTGAAAATAGGGTCTCATCTCAGACAAGAGTACACTCTGTAGGTTTCTACTCTGAAGAAACTAGGTGGGATTTGTCTCATTAATATGTCAGTGTGTTTTAGCTGGGTGAATATACTGCACCTCAAGACGGTGAAAAGAGTCAATATGACCAACTATGAACTAGGGGGCCATAATACACAATGTCAACGTGCAGTATGGCAATAACTTCTAAAGGTTTGTTTCTATAAGAGATCTGGATGCACTGTGTTGCCAGCTGTCACAACAATGTCCAATATGAAACCCCACATACTCTGTGCAATGGAAACATGCATCCATCTTATTTACTCATGACTACAAGTAACATGTCAAAGTATTTTGAGATGAACAGTATTAAACCAAATCACTACAACACATGGGCGACAAGCTTTTGGTTTTTTGAAAGGGGGGAAGAGAAAAATGTCTCCAGTCTGACAAATGAGGCTTAGACATACAGAAGGTCTTCTTTCCAGACTGGCCAACAGTAAGTCACAGGCAAGGAGCTCAGTATGGCAGCATCATGATCCACAGTAGTACAGAAACAGACAGTATGAATAACACTTGAGCAGACTGACCCATCATGATGTCCTTCATGACAGAGTGTAGCACCACCTCCTCAAAGATGTTCTCTACCAGGATGAATCGAGAAAAGTCCTCAAAGATCAGCTCCTGGAAACGTGGAAGCTCCTGACATCGACAATAACATGTTTCAACATCCAATCAGTATTGCATTTTAACACTTTCTAAATCTTGTCATTACATTTCAGGATGTAACTTGTCTTACTCAGGGAGTCAGCCATTTTTTGGTGAGTACTGTTCTATTACTGATCTGACAGTCAACCTCATATATACACCCAGCCATCTGTCAGGCACACAGTATGTTGTTACACATGTTTCACCTTCATTGAGATACTTGGTACACTTTGACATTTGAGCCCAATCAATACATCAACAGCCAAGTTTAACCGGCTGATTTAAGCTACTTGAAGCTGCTATAAAATATATACTTGCAGGTTATTTGTTGCTACATTAATTAGCCACAAAGCTAGCTTGCTAGCTAATGCTACAGCTTGTCAGGGGCTGTTAATTTATACTGCTGTACCCATTCTGCCTAAATGACATAATTGGTAAACATCCTTACATGCCAGTACAGTTGGTGCATTAGAAAACACATGAGTTTCTCCTAGGATACAAGACCAGTTTGTCTCAAAAGCTCAAAGCTGAGACAGAGTCTTTTCAAACTTACAGTAACACAACACTTTGAGCCAGTGTCTAAACAACTGGCTAGAACCAGTAATGTTAGAGGGGTTATTAGACCAGCAGAAAAACACTAGAAATCAACATGTGCTTATTTGGCCAAGTTGTATATAGTTATTTGGCAAATAACTATATGCAAGGGATCCTCAAAAAGCCTTAAAAATCCTGAATCCACTGGGCTCTATTTGACACACCCAAATACACACAATACATAAACAGCACTGGCAATACACATTGTATAAGGACGGAACACATAAATGTATATATTTCCATTAATCTTTCAGGTTTTTGATGACTCAGTGCTCTGAGACTCACCGAGGCACAGGAAGGGCTGAGCTGCTTCAGCATGTAGGGGATGAAGATCTGGAGGAGAGCCTCACGGAAGAAACGCTTCCTCACTGTGCTGCTGTCATAGTCATATTTCTGAACAAAAAGGAAAAAACAATTTCAAAGACATTTGTTTTTTCAAAATAATTGCTGACACCCAGAGAAATACTGTTTATCCTCAGTGGTGCAATAAACTAACTACAATGGAGCTAGAATTGTAAGCTCACTAGCTGACCACAAGAAAATGTATCTGAAACTATTCAGATAACCTAGTCATCTTTCAAGTCACTTTGCAAGAAAAAAGGTTGATAATTTCTTAGTTTCAGCTTCCTGATTGCCAGACCTTTCTAAATCTTCTGATAGGAAACCAAATATGTAGTTTCAGAATATTGGTCATATAAAATGAGACATTTAAAGTTGTCATCTTAGGCTTCAGGAAAATGAAATTTTCACTAAGTGCTGCCTAGTTACCCTCTGGCATCACCTTAAACACTGATATTTAAAATACAATACAGGCATGTTCTGATTAAAATGAAGATAAAGCCACATGACATTGGAATAGTCCACATTAAAATATGTATTTAAAGTCTGATCAAGAGGTGACTAGCAATTTTATCTCCGGAAAAAGCCAAATGTCCAAGTTTTTCCATCCGTCCTTAAATACAGCACAAGTTTGAGGATCTGAGAGGAGAAAATCTTCTGAAAATCTCGCATGCAAGTATCATGTGGTCTGCAAGGCAGGTGATCTGTGCACATGCATCTAGCCATCTGTAAACGTATTTTAAGGAACTGCACACAAAAACTGTTCTCAAACATGTTCATATCTGTAAATCTTGATTTTATTTGTAGATTACTGAACCACATTTGTAACCTTGACTGTATATGTAAGTCACAGAATACACATTGAGAGGATTTTATCCCCGTAGCATTTAGACATGTGAGGTAGGAAAAGCACAGTAGTAAATAATCAAATGAATGATGGCTGTATTACATGTAGCTGCTTCTGTTTCAGGGTCCTGCTGTTGTTCATGCTGGATCACTGTCATGTTGCAATGGGCTAGAACATAGCTGTTGGTAATGTTACTAGTAACATCTGTGCTTTTCCTACTATGACAGTCGGAGTCAAGTGAAATCTCCCTGCTCCTATTAAGTGTTTCCAGTGATAATCTTCTAACCTGTTCATTTGTGTTTTACCTTAATGACTATGTCCTGGCAGCGCTGAATGATCTTACAGAGTTCCTCAGTACCTTGAGACTCCAGACTCTGATGAAGGATCTGCTCAAATGTATACACTGCATTATCCATTTGCTGTGGACACACGTACAAAAAGAGAGAGGCCAATGTGTTACATTACAGAGACTGCATTAGTTTCATTTTAAATATTTACTCTTTTGGGGGGGTTAACATGCTCTGAAACACAATCAATATTTATAGCTCAAACTTTACAAGATATTTAAGTGGTGAGTAAGTGACTGACATATGAAGGAACATCTAGTGAAACAAATTCAGGGGTGAAAATATGATAATACATGAATTCAACCCTGAGCCATCACGTGCCTGTATACAGATATCAAATACTTAGAGTTCCCGTTTATGCACTGCTCTCCTGAGTTACTGAATCACCATTAGAGGGCACTCATGTTTCTTCAGTTCTACTGTGCCTGCAGTTGTCAACACAAGCTAGACCTCACCCAGGCCCTCCCCAAACTCTCAGCAAAGGGAAGCTACTGTACAGTTTAAATAAGGAGAACAAACCAGGGGAATAAAAAAAAAAAAAATTCAAATCACCCCACTGAGCTTTTGTGGTATTAAGTATTTCACTAATAATCAAATGATTCCCTGTGGCAGCAAAACTGAAATATTGACCTCATTATTTCCTTTGATCCATTTACTGGTCAACCTGCAGTCACCCTCTGTTAAGTTCACTGTAAGGTCCTGAATCCAAGAACCCAGTGATGCACAACGTGTCATACAGAGTTCTACTGAAACCTGATAGCTTGGCAGCTTTTTGGTGAATAGCATAAAGAGGGCATATTAGGTAACTTGCAAATGTTGGCTCAAATGTACATTTACAGTTTTTATGAATACAACTACATAAGATTTGAAGATAGCACCAATTAGCACCATGACTGTTACAATCTCAAACATGTCTGTTCTTATGTAAACATGCAACCTTCCATTTATGTAATGACTGGCAGGAGGGGTGATCATTTTGTGCTGAAGTTCTAAACACCAAGGACTAAGTGCATACGCTAGTCAGACTTTTAAATGTGGTTCTCAAGAAAAGACCTGACAGCTCGATTATATGTAGTTCTAAACAGTACTTAAACTCTGAATGACCCTAAGTTGATGTGTGGATCCCCTCCTGTGGCCCCAAGCACCACTGAAGGGGTCAGGATTAATGATTTCTCCATTTTGGGAGTGGGAGGTGAACGGCAGAATGCTTGCCTCTTGGATCTCTTTTCTGAGACTTATTTCCATGTGGGCAAGTCTGAATGCCCTGTGCTCTAAATTGTAACATATATGAATTATAAGGATTTTCCAGTATTTAAAGACATATGTCACATAAACGTTTAGCACCATTCCAGGGTGAAAACCATGTTTTAACCTAAATTTTTAGAGATATTGTTGATACTAGGAAATCGTCTTATTCTTCACTGTCTCACTGCCCCGATTTTACTTGTATCTGAATTAGAATTAAAACATACTCAAGGACTATGTCAGATAATCTCAGATTGTTTTAATGATATCGGTGCAGATAGTTTTTGGTATTATTTGTCCAGCTTCATTAGATAGCTGTCTGAGAGCTCTGTGTTAACCTCTACACAACGGTGGGGAAATGGAATTCAGTTTGCTGAATCACCATTGAGAAAAGACATTAACAAAATTCAACAATTTACAGACAGAGTGTCCATGTTTCTCTAGTTTTTTTCTGTGGATTATCCAAAGTTTTTAAAGCACTTATTCCTTTGGTAGAAATGAAAAAAAGATACTGAAGATAATGGAACTGAAAAAAAAAACATATAAAAAGTCTCTGATACATGTTCGGCAGTGAATAATGACTATGACAGTACTACTACAAGTCAGTGAGCATTTAGATTTCCAGCGACACTGTTCTTATTTTGAACGACTGCAGACCTCAAAGTTCACCTGAGGGCAGCTTCTGACATCAGTTCATGCACATTTCAGCTTTTCTTTTCACAGTGCTGCAAAATGAAACCATTTTGTGTTACAAAAATACTAAAGATACCAGGGACAAAGACACCATTCAAATTCTTAGTATAGCTGATGAAAGCAGCTTTTCATTTCTAGCAAGCAACTGTTGATTTGTCAGCTCAAATGATGACCATCATCAGAAAACTGTATTAGCTAGCTAATCAGAAACCTAGTTGGCTGCAAATTCAGTTTCTAGCTGACTTTTAAATGTTTCCATCTGTCTTATACAAACACGAGAAATCCTCAAAAGGGTCTTATGTGGACTAGATTTTTACATGGCAATAGGCTAATTCTGTAATGATGCAAAAACATCCAAAGCCATAGCTAACAGGTCCCAGTAAAGGGTCAGTCTCCTCACTCATTTAAGATCCATGTAGTTTATCCCCTGTATTTTAGTACAGAGCAGGGCAGAACCACTAAAGTTATACCATTCACTCTCAAATGGTAGTTAGTACACTGGCTGTTGTGTTTGTTTTTGGAAAGAAGACAAAGTATCACTGTCCCATGCAAAGTGTAGCATGTGTAGAAACCTGAAGCTTGAGGCCTGCTGTGACTAGTTACACTAAGACGACTGTTTGGGGATGGGCTTCAACAAACTATGCATGCATGCATGTGCACAGTTTTCTTGTGCAATAAGGGATTATTACTGACAATTTAGGTGTACTAACTTCGGGTTTTACAGTAACTCCAAGTAGATGTTTAGATAACAGTTGGTTGGTTTATAACCGGTCAGACTGCCTTTGTAGTGAAGTCATATTCCCACATGTCACCAGTAAACTTGGTAAGTAAAGTAAGTAAAGTGTTATTGTAATGGACAGAAAAAATGATTTGAAAAACCTCAAAAATTATAAAAATAAGACCCAGTGTTATAATAATCTGGAACTATCCTTTAATACTGGAAGCTCTAACTGTGGTCAATACAGTGCCCCATTTAAAACCCATAATGTAAACTAGACTACATCCAGCTGAAAAACTAAGTGACAGACAGTTGAGGTATCCGAGCTTCACCTCTCTCATAAGGATCTGGGCTCTCTGGATGAACACTGAAGGGCTGGAGACATCAAATCTCTGCTGCAGACCTTCCAGACTGAGCTGCTCCACCCTCTTGTAGCAGCCCTGCATCTTGACTGGATGGAAGGCCAGCATTGAGATCTTCTCCATGTGCTGAGAAGAAGAGAGGGATGGCAAAGAAGACAAAACATTTCAACACCATACTGGACTATTGAAATGGTTTTGTTTTCACAGTTATACAGACTTCAAGTCAACAGCTGATGCTGCTACCAGTTCTTAAAGCATTTTGCCCTCAAAAGGTCGGATCGCCTGCATTATCAGTTATGTTGCAGTCATGGCAACATCTCTCAGCCACACTAGTTTATCCTTAACCACCTCCTCTACATCCTAACCTGTGCCATGGCCTCCTTGGTGCCTTCATTGAGGGTGTTCTTGCTCAGGTCCACTAGCTCTCTGAAAAACACATCCCGGACCTCAGAGAAGCCTCGGCTGGTGGGCTCCATCAGGGCATCTAGGATAGAGCTGATGTAGGGCTCGATGCTCACCTTCAACAGCTTCTCGGCTTTGGGGAGAATCACCGCTGTGAAAGAGATGGTGGTTTACAACCTGGGTCACCATTTTAAAACAAATCTCTTCTTCACTTTAAAATGCTGGTAATTAAAACAAGATTTGGTTGGATAACACTAATATTTCTGAGCACGAATGGGCCACAGTATTGCAAAAAAAAAAAAATTGTCAGATTTTATAGCAGATATTATTGAGTCTAATAAATTCAAATATACTTTCTATGCTATAGTGTGTTTTGGTGGCTTATTCCTCCCTTGGCTTTAATGGTCCTCTGCCTATATGGTATTCCGCTGAGTAATTGATGTCTTCTTATCTTGCTACTACATTTACTATTTTCTTCAATACTGCCACTGTAACACAGCTGCAGCTGAAATGTTCCATCGCTGACAGAGGGGGAGGAATGCTGCTACTGGTTTTCCACTGTGTGGCATTAATGGGAAGTGCTCACCTAAAAACAAGTGTCAGGTCAAACTGATTCAAAAATGAGAGGATTGATGACATGCTACAAGCTGACATGATTTAGTCCTATTAAAAACGCTGACGTTTCGACCTCAATCTTCAAGTCAAAACTTTCCTCTTAGTTTTGAATAATGGGCTACCAGACTACTAGTAAACACTACATATGCAGAGAATGTGGCAATAGCTCACAGGCAGATGTAAGATACAGTAAGTCTGCATGTAAATGTGTTTGCAGGTGAAGCAAAGTTTATCTTTTGTCAATTCTATTTACATACTCTATGTGTCTAGCTACCATACTTCATCAGTGAGTTAAGGATGTAACAGCAGCAACAGGAGCTCTGTCTGTTCAGCTGTTAAGCTCTCATGCCTTACATAACTTTGCCTGAAGTAACTGGTGGCACACTCTGGACTCCATACTGTAGGTTTCATTTACAGTACAGAATCATTTAATCATCCCAAACATCACAGAAAAGCTTTAAAGACACAAAAACAGAAATCTAATCCAAAATATCTTTATTTCAGTAGGCAAACCGCTCACTCTGCCACTAACCTTTGACCTTGTTGGTGACATGCTCCTTGGAGGTGATGATCTGGTCCATGTCTGTGCGTATGGAGGCTTCCAGAGAGGAGCGGGTTGCCTCACACTTCTGTAACACCACCTCATACTGGGCCTGACACTGCCCCTGCACCAGGCTGTATATGGCATCACTGATCTACACACAGTAAACACATATTTAAAGCCTTAACCTCCGGTTTTCTTAGCAGTTCAATTTAGGTGAGCCAAACTTACAGCCTCTATAGTACTTAGGATTTTTGTTTTGAACTGGACGTACTAGCACTGTCCATTAATTCAATTGATCAATAAAACTCTGAAAAAGACAAAGTTCATCATGTGATGTGATGTAAGCATTTTTTAAAAATTGGTATTATTTACTGTCCCTGTCCTAAATACCATTTCCGATGCTTTCATATGGAAAATTTTGTTAATTTTTGGGAATTAAAATGAGTAAGGCATGAACAATATTAAAAAAAAAAACACATACTGAATATTTGTATTTATTCCACTTAGGCTTTGTATCTCAAAGCCTAAGTGGAATGTGTGTGAAATGATTTCTTACCAGCATCCAGTTCCTTTGCCTCTCATGCAGTTTGCCTTTGAGGCGGGGGGAGATGAGCTCCATCAGTTCAGACAGGAGACCCTCCATCACCAGGTTGGACAAGATCTACATGGTAAACACGACAAAACTCACTGGACCCACAGTCACAACATACAAAACTTATAACTAGACTAGATTTTTATTAGTAGCTCTACCATCTTTTATTTTCTCTCTGGCTCATCCCAAAACATAGTGCATGTTAATGAGTTGTAGCTTTAAGCCACCAAGATATTTGTTCTCCCTGCAGGACAAAAACTAAAAATAAAAAACGAAACCCACAGTGTACAACTGGTGTGGTTTCCCTTTAAGTTTTGGGCAGACCTTTTTGTAGAGAAGAAACCTCAATTACCTCTCTTGAAGCAGAGTTTTGTGTCATTTGTTGTGCTGAATGACCAACCACTTTGTATGGTTAAAAACATATGGCATGTACTAGTAGCTGGTGAAAAATAAAAAAATACCCCATGAACAATGATGGTTACAGATTAGGAAACACTGGGGAGTATCAAACGTACTGTGAGATTTTAAAACAAATACATCAATATCATTATACAATGATATATTAAGGGGAAAATTATGTTTCGAAAACAAAACAATTCTAAAATAATGTGATGACCAGTTTTCCATTAAGCAACACTCAAGAAAACATTGTCACTTCACTGTAATGCAGCCTCACAGACTGAAAAAAGACAACATTTGAAGGATACACATCAATATTTCCAAAACCAAATACCAGATAATGTTATAAATTTATTCTCCTAAATCTGAGTGTAAAAACTGACTTGCAGACTAAGTCTCTGACAAGATTTTTACCAATAGAGAAAGAGGCTATTCTACCTCAGTAAATGACTAGAGAACACAGGTTCTGTTTCAAAGTCAAATTGTGTGGCTGTCCAGGTATGAGGAATTTTAGGGTGTGAAATTCACACCAGCCAAAACCATGGCATATTTAGCAGTCCTGTAAATTTAAATAGTCGCTCGTGTCTAGAATCCAATAAGTCATGTCTGTGATGTGATGACTTTGTGTTTGCGACTTCCAGAAAAACCTGTTCAGTGCCAGTGGTACAGAAACCTGGACCAGATCGTGCCTTCAAGGCAGTAGCGACAGCATTTTAAATCAGCCTGCAGGGTACACAAAACATGAATAGGTCTTAAATAGAAACACTTAAGACAATAAGTAGTCTAACCATGTTTACCTGCACAACATACCAGGTTATTGGAAGAAAACAATAGACAGGAATGTGGGGAATGTGTTTATATGCACTTATATGATTAATGTAACCCATGTTTACATGAGGTTTGAAATTACTGTTCTAACCACTACAATGTGGGACATACGTAGCGTGCTACATTTAATCTGTGACAGAGTTACTGCATTTCATTCCAACAAAAAAAGAAAAGGCAACCCCCACCAGACATAGGGCAGTTAGATGTTACTACTGCTGCGCATACCTGTGATGGTACACCACACATCATTTCCCAGGTGCCATAGTGCCCGTGAACTTGGCGGTATAGTCGTACTGCATCAGTGAAGGCTGGTGTTTGGACTTTATTTTCCTCTAACAAACCTGGGAAAAAAAACAATAGGAGCCGTTAGCCCTTAAAATTTAAATACATGAAGAATCTTCATTAAAATCTGTTTTGTTGAAGCAACACTTCAGAACCTTTTGTATTAATTGATTACAAAGGGCCTGAAAAGTTGCCATCATACTGTAGCACAAGAACACACACTGAAGTTTTCAAGCGGCTTGCTTGTCTAACCAACTGTCCAAAATCCAAAAGTATTCCAATTCTTTGTAATATTTCAAAAGAGAAAAACAGCAAACCTCTATAATTGACAAGCCAGAATTTTAGCTTGATGAATAACAAAACGATCCATGGATTATTAACATAGTTGTCACCTTTCATACACAAGGAAATTCAATGCACTTCACATAGTAAAACAGAACCAGACAATCACACATATCACAAATATCACACAAATTACAAAAATACAACAATAAAAACAACTCCAATTCAATTACAGTATTGAATAATGGTTTCAGAACTGCACATTACTAAATAAATGTTTATATTTTCTACTTGACAATGATATATAGTGTAGAGAGAGCAAAGGGGGACAGGATTTAATAAGGGCTCACGAGGCTCAACGTGGCCCTGCATTACACCAGCATACTGTATACTCAGAGCCCTCTGTGTGAAGATGAATGACAAGCTGACCTAGGGTGAAACTGGTGCAACCACACCTTGTTTAACAGAGCTGTTAGAAAGTGCACACAGGAGAAGTGCTCTCACAACTGTGTGGTGGTTAATTTGACTACACACGTGTTTTTTCCTGGGTTTCATTTTCAAGTTACTTCCAGTGAGTATAGGCAAAACCAAGCAGAAGCCTGTGGAGCTGTGAATCACTAAGAACAACTCAACCTTTACAATGAATGTATACTTCTGTTAACCATCCTGTACCACATTCTGAGATCTTCATAAACAAAGGATAAACACAGCTCAATACTACTGCAATAACAATATTTTGAGTATATATATATAATGTGTACTTTGTTTTCTTAGCGTCACTGGTGTAAATGTAATGACAATTTTGCCATTTTAGCAGTCTAGTAGGAAGGCCATTTGTTTAAATAGTACCAATCTATACCTTTTGATTTACATCCAATGACAAGTTTGCAGGACTTGTACAAACTGAGATGGTTCTGCATAGAAGTACTAGAACATACATACATACATGTCAGTGCAGGAAGTAGTGAGTCCTTTATGTAGTGAAGTGGAACGAGTGTGGTTAATGGGTGTGTAGTATGACTTTCAAACAGGTGGTCTAGGCTGGTATATTGTATGCAAGTTCTCCAAAAGTTGCAAGAAAAAAAACTTCAATTCAATTTTAGGACAACAGAGCAGAAGGCACTAGTTTAGTCTGTATGTACAGTACCTCACATAAAAACACTGCAACACTAACGAGTGGCACTGGAACTCAGAATAAATTTAATGACACACACACACACACACACACACACACACACACACACACACACACACACGTCCATTTCTATTTACTCCCTTTGTGCCTGAGAATGAACACACTGTTTGGGTGAATACACTAACACTTTTCACTTCAAGAGCCCATGGCATGCTTTTCCTTGTTTTTTGACTTGTCTGCAATATTACAACAGTGAATTATCACCTTAGATGTGACCTAAAGCTCAAACAATGAGGTGTATGTATGTTCTAGTACTTCTATGCAGAATCATCTCAGTTTATACAAGTCCCGCAAACTCTTGCTCACTTTTTTTTCCTAACAAATAAAGTATGAGATAGTCTAAGGATCTCACTGAATGATCATAATCTCCAGACATCCACCAGTCCCATTTTAACAGCAGAATTTTTCAACTGTGCCCAGTTTTGTGGATATGTTTTTCCTCCTGCTGTGAACTGTGACCAGATGATGTGGAGAAAAATACAGGGCCTGAGGTTACTGGATGTCCAGGAATGTTCCTGTACAGGTACTCACCATTTTACATGACCAGGTCTAACCTACAAGTAGCTGGCCAGTGAAGGCCCTACGGCGGTGAATGATCAGCGGATCAATACTGGATTTCCCCAGAGCACAGTACCTGTTTGTTTTGACTGTTTGAGGCCAGTGTGTCTGCTGCATGTGATGTGTTGCTGGTTAACCAGTGGCCCATGATGTTAATGTCAGTGCTATGCTACCTGTTGGAATTAATTTCACTACTTTGGGGACTGTATGTGGTTGTGTGGGGGAAGACGCAGCGATCAGATAAATAAAAAAAAAAAAAAAAAAAAAAAAAAAAAGGGGGGTGGGGGGGTGGGGGGGGTTGTGGCAGGACAGAAGTGAAGTGAAGTCTAGCTTCCTGTTTGGATACTCTTTCTTTACCTTTAGTTAGCATTTTTGCATCATTCATTTATTTCTGTTAGTACTTCTATGATATCATTATCCTGGTAAAAGTTTTATTCAAATATGCAACTGAGCAGCTGAAAAAGCTTTTACTTGAATCTCTCTTAAAAAAATCATCAACAAATGCAAAGGAAGGACGAGTCTTTGATGTTTGAGCTATATATAAAGAAGTGGTCAGATGGAAAAAAAAATGCACGCAGCATGTCTTAATGCTTTGTTTCTGTAACGTTCTAGAGAATTGTTGTAAGGCTGGAGAAGTTACTATGTCTGCATTATGCCAGTTAAAATATGGGGTTTCTCAACTACCCGATTTGTTTAGAGTGTTACACATCTCTTTTCGTCAGTACGTATACTGTTTACCCATCTATGGAGGAGAAATTTGAATTAATTAATGCTGGTGCGGTTGGTCATGCTGTCCACTTTCATATTCTGACATGAACATGTTAGGTAGGAGTTGAGGCATTGTCAAAAATGTAGCTAATTTGTCATTGTTTTTTGTTTATGTGTTGTCGTTTTCAGGAGGAGGCTCTCCTTGTGATATTGGGTTTTATCATACTGAAATAATTACAGACTATTTGGAGTTATGATGGGTGCAAAGCTAATCTAGAGGTATCCAAGATTAAACATTAAATGGCTGGAAATGAGCATCCATGGGCGCTTTAAAGAACTTTTTGTCAAAATAAACAGATGAAGTTACAAAAAGGCCATTGTTGTAAGTGACTGGCTCCTCCTGGGCCCTGTCTCTTGCACAATGCTAGCCTGAGCTACGAGTCATGGTAACCAGGTAAATATATCATGGCATGATGCCATGATATATTTACTCTTAATTGCACTTTCAGTCCTCTGCCAGTTTCAGTCACCTCTGGGTGCAGTAGCTACATGCACACAGCTGAGAACTTTAGGGTCAAATGAAGCATTTGGATTCTCTTCAATTTCATACTTGATCCATTTACTCAAAAATATGGTCCACAGCGTCAGCCTGCTACGAACATAAATTGGTTTCGTGGACAGTAAATCACAGTGGAAGAGGTGAAATGAGATTCATAATGAAGACATGAGACATTAGATGTCCCATTCCGATCACTTTATGAACTTACTTAGGCATTGTTGACTACACTTTTAGAGCAACTTTAACCTTCAGCAGCCTGCCAAGTACAACCAGGTTTATGCCCCATCTGCTGCTACCGTAAACAATCACTTACAGTGCTTACATTAAAAAGATAGTTATTTTCCATTTTGTGATTTTCCACAAATCCTACACAGAGACTAAAACCAAAAATGAACTTGGTAGACTCACTGTAATGTCTGTGAATCCAGAACCTGGTTTAGTTCATTTGTCTGTGACGTAGCGCTACACTATAGTCACTTTCGGCTTTTCCCGTTGAGGGGTCGCCACAGTGAATAGTCACACTGACGACTCGCATCTTGACATTTGGCACGTGTTTTACACCGGATGCCCTTCCTGACGCAGCCCTGATTCAAAACTGGGCCACAGCCGTGAGAGCGCTGCGCCTTAACCACTAGCCTACCAGGGATGATGTAGTGCTACACTGTTGTCCAAAAACTGTTACAAACCTACTTAAGAGACTGTAAAAAGTAATGATCATTCTTTGAGCTTTTCCTTAAAAAAAAAAAAAAAAAATACATACCCCACATATTTTATAAAGCACAAATATGTCACCCAGCGTGGCAGTGTGACTCACTGGCATGTTTAAATAGCGTTTGGACAACAATGCACAGACGACAAAGCTAAACCAGGTTCTGGATTAACAGAAATTATGGTGAGTACACTAAACCCGCTAATTTTATTCTGTGTGGAAAATAAGCACTGTAGAAAATTACTGGCTTTATCCTCTACATCTAAGTGATTTGCTGGGTAGGAGTCTCATAATATGTAATGTTGGTGGTGGGATGAACTAAACAATGCCAGGAGCACTGTACAGTAAGTAAATCCAGGATAAATGAACCATGCTCTTTACCTTGCCCAACTGTGAAATTTAATAATTTCTCATTCAAATCAACTCATACTCAGTGCTCTTAAAATTACTTGCTTGATCAAGTTCTTGTTTGTTCTGTTATTTTCAGCAAGAATGCTGCTGATTCCATGCCCTTGGAAAATCCCAAAGAGAACAGCTATGTCAAAATTCCCTAACTGGCTACACTGCTATTGCTGGCCACTCCTTCAGCAACTGTCTAAGCTAAAGATATTTTTAAAATTTTAACCAACACATAGTCCAGTGTGTCCGTTCTCAGCTGAGACTGTGCAGCAGTTAAAAGCAGGCCTCCCTTTTTTCCCATTTGGCAGTCTTCTGGGTTAAAACAAAAAAGCAAATGATTATATAATGTAAAAGATGACAGAAAATGGAGCTTCATAACAATTTGCATGTACTTCATCCTGCAGAATGTGTTGCATTTCCATCACTGATGTGAGATCAGCTAATAGTTTTACCAGTAAAGCCGTCTCACTCTGGAGTTGTTGAACTACAGAGAAGCACTCGTTTCAGTGGTGCTACAGAGAGATGCCTTTTTACCTCAAACAATCTTCATCTAACAGCAGACACCGTGTTGGCTACAGCAAAGTCATAAACCCAACAACAGCCACTTTAATTTTGTCCCATCATTAGTCACAGAACTAACGTTAGCAACAGCCGATATGACCCCATTGGTTGTCATTTTAACCAGAAACACTGGCAACCAGCAGAAGCTGCTATCTGAACGATTGGGCTTTGCTGACAGGATTGTAGGTGTCTCTGGCACTGCTCTCAAATATTCAAATTGAAAACCGATTACCTAAACAACCAATGAATAGTTGAAAATCTGGTTCCAGCCCTAGTCAATACACACACCTCACCCAACTAATACAAGATATTGCCACTCCCTTGAGCTTGTAGCTTTGGGCAGCTGTATGCATGCACACATGCCTGTACACACCTCATAAACCTGCCCCATAAAACTTGCCCCGTTATACCATACATTTTAATGTCTTTATGCATAGTTATTAACAAATAAACTAAATATTGTGCTGAAAGGCCCTTTAACATCATCTCCCTTTCTTTAACTGCAGTAACATTTCTGTTAAAAGGATCTGCAGGGAGTGGAGAGGAATGCTGGGGCACAGGTGTATGAAGTATCCAGTTAAAACTAATAAACTTGTCAACATTAGAGCATTTGTATGGGTAACAATATAACAGCATAGTCTGGCTGCCTCTAATCAAATAATTTGTTGTGATAACTGTGTTTAGTCTTTTTTTTGTCCATCAGTACATTTGTATGCATGTGTACAAAAAATGTCTTAGTCATTAGTTGGCAGAACTCACCATCATTAGTGTGTCTGACACAGTCCTGAAGGACAGCGTGCCACTTCTGCTGCTCTTTCTCAGTCCCCACACAGAAGTAGTAGTGACGGGCGTAAGGGTGCCAGAGGATCAGAGGGAACTGGGTGGCACACTTTAAGAAGGGCGAACTTCCCACTTTGGCATTCACATCTTCACACACAAAAAAAAAAAAAAAGTAATTTGAAAGCCTTTGAAGAGATTTATGTCATCTTCAGCAGGTTTAAAATATACTGCTTTATTACTAGTGCACGTTGCAGTCATGCATTAATCAGACCCACAGAACACTGAATACATTAGTAGTCAAGATCCAGTCACTGACCTGACCAAATGCATTGTACCATGCCAAGCTCTCTTCCATGTATACAAACATCTTCAGTTTTCCCCCTACAGTGTGCGACTTGGGGCATTGTGACCAAGGCAGCTAGAGACACCTGCGGTTTTACACGGCCACACTGGCTAGGCTCCTTTGTGCACTGCTAATGGTTATTACATCCACCTAACCCAAATGTGGACCAGATACAACTTTTTTACTAAGCAAGTGGTTATGATTTAGATGAAAAATAAAATAGTAGTTTAATCCAAGGGTGTTCTGAGCAGCCTCTGGCAGGTTCAAACATGAATATATGCTCATGTTGTAAAGATTAAATATGCCTTGCTATGTGCCCCGCTGCCTTATGGAAAAGCCTTGCCTTATGAGCTCTGTTCAGCCTTCCAACTATAATTCCTTCCATTGTTCCACATCATCCGTATGCTCAGACTTGGACTTTTTCAGAACCCAGGTGTATACACAGGCATGATTGATCAAGATTACACTGGTGATCAGCAAAAACCACAACTATGATGAAGTTGCTATCACCTTATCCCCCCTCATCATATTACCCTAAAATGTTAATTATTACAATCCTGGCTTCTGGCTGACATTCTGAAGTTGACCGACTATGATTAAATGAAGCCAATCCACTGTGATGAGACCAGAATTATCTGAACCCTTTCCCTGTACAGTACAATTATCAGCATGAGAGGCTGCAGCTTCAGTCTTTTTGCCACCTCCTCCTCACCAGGCAGGCTGTTGCTGATGAGATCCAGGTATTGCTCCATGGATGTCAGCACTTTGTAGCCGGCACAGTTGATTGTTCCTTTGGGATGGAGGCCTCTGTCATGAGACTGGTAGTTAAGACAGGGACACAGAGTTAAAACAGCCAGTGAATCGATCTAACATTTAAAACAAACTGTGCGGACTGTTTTTCCCCTCACCACTTTATTGTCATAAAAGTTAATGTTGTAGGAGTCTGGAACAAAGAAGAAGCGGTTCTTCCATTTCTTGTTCTCCTCTAAGTACTGAAAGAGCGAGCCAGAGAAGATGGACTTGTTCTCCAGAGGAATCTGTGGGATAAAGCATACAGTATTTCAACGCAAAGGCAAAATGACTATACACTAGCACAGGCAAGTCAGAAAAGTTAATAGGAGCTTCTCTAGCATCCCCATAGAACCAGAAACTATGGGCCATTTATTGTATTTGCCAGGAAAAAGATTAACTTTATTTGTTCCATGCATTTTAATAAGAAAATATGTTATACAAGTCCACCATAAACTACAACATAAATAACACCCACCCTGAAATACACAGGACAGAGTACTTACGCTGCACTAGGGCTAGGTATTGAATTTTTGTGATAATAGTGTCACTACAGTACCTGCATTTTGGCAGCAACAGCATATTTGATACCTTATTTTGAAAATATAAATTTTTTTTGACAAATTTTGAGGTACTCAATTTCTTTTCAGCCTCTAAGAGGGTCTAGCGAGACTCAAAAACTTACTGAAATCACTACTGCTAACGTCACACAAAGCACTAATGTTACACAAAGCTCTAATTACCCCCAAATTAAAATCATTAATTCAATATAAAAGGTAAAATCATAACCATACCAGATCGCTAATGCTACAAAACAAACATATCAGTTTTAGATGCTAATACAACCAGAAAGAAGAACATTACGTCTGAATCAAATATGACTCCTTTGGATGCTTTTAACCCTCTGCATCTCAAAAAACTAAACTGATGTTAACCCTGGCTTTGGCTCTATGGCAACCACTGTTTCAGACTGGGCAGGGGTGTAGCTGAGGGACACCATGACTTGTCCCATTTTCACTGTATCCGAGACAATGTGTAAAATCCTAGTTTGTGCACCATTAAAAGTGTTAAATATTTAAACACAGAACTGTAAGAGGACTTAAAATAGTCTAAAATTGGCAAACTTATGGTTTAAATCAGATTTGACTAAAGAATAAGATTACAATTACAATCTAGCTAAATATTTCAGTACAGACATTTTGCTCAGTCAAGAAGAAAGTACTGAGGTCCATAACCTGTCGTATTGCTTTGGATTTAAACATTCATGCATTCTGACCACAGGTGAGTCTTTCTTCACTGTAATTAAAATCTATGCTTCAAAATCTGAAGCCCATTTCTGCCAAGCAAAAACAGATGAAAAGACAGAAAAAATACTGCTAAGTCAAAGTCCAGCAATCTAGTTTTTGCCTACTATTCTAAGTCAAGACCTATGAGACATTCAAAATTCTAACAAAATTAAACATTGTGAGGGAGTGCCTCGTATCCAGGTGGTTATGGCATGGTGCACCATATACCCCCTCAGGGTTTGCGTTCCCGTTTCTCTGCAACCAACTGATTAATTAAGGCTAAAAGCCCCAAAAAAACAACCAAAAAAAAAAAAAAAAAATTTACACTAAGATAAAGTCAAAATCTTGATGAAATTTTTTTTAAATTTTACAGTTACTTTTTGACTTAATTCAGAATTTAGATTGAGTTTATAATTCTGACTTAGGTCTTACTATTACCATATTTTTTTACATAGGTACTTTATTTTTACTTTCGTGATTTATAACATTTCATGCACTTTTTCCTTTTCCTGGCAGAACTGTTTTTTTTTTTGTTTTTTTTTGTGTCAGAAGAGGATGTTATACCTTGCGGTGTAGTAGCTGGGGCTGTGGGCCACCTCCTCCTTCTATGTCAAAGCGAACTTTGTTGAAGAGAGCCACTGCATATTGCTGCTCATACAGACGCCCAAACTCACGCATAACCTCTTTAGTCCGAGCTGCAAAACACACACACAGAGTTAGGAAAGTAGTGGCACCGAGTTCAAGAAATGTTCTACATTGTGGTGTTTATATTGTGGTATTTTTATATTTACAGAATGAATGTAGATGCATATGCACTCATAATGCTCATTATGTTTCAAATTAAGTATCACAGCTTCAGGGTCTGCTAGCATGTTTACAGATTCTGTCAACATCCATTTCAGTCAGGGTCTTATCAATGTGATTCAGAAATGATCAGCAAATGCATTATCTCAAAAAATTAGAAATGATCCACAACACATGAAAAACTTTAACACACCTGGTGAATGCACATGGTTCAAAGTGATTGTGTTCGCAGTTAAATGTGATTTTTCCATGCACAAACATGCCCACTTACCTCAATTGCTAAAAGCCAAAATGAGGAAAAATACACCGATAGGAAGTCATAGTAATTCCCCTAATAAAGAAGACTTAAATTAGCAGCATACTGTATTAGTCAAAAGTCTGGATACCCATTCAATTCAGTGGAGAAGAGTGTCCAAACTTTTGACTGGTACTGTAAAAATGAAACAATGGGTTTGAGGGGCAGGTCACCAAAATCATCTTTTTACTATGTAAAAAGGCAGTTGTAGGAAATGTTTTAGGTGAAGGTCAAACACAGACATGGTATGGTGTGGGTAGGGGATTTCACACTGCTCAAAACTGAACACATTAGGACAAACTAGTTTTTAATAAATACAAAGTATCAGAGATGCATTGGACTTATAAGGTTGATCTTGGGCCATTAAAATACCTCACCTCAAAACTATTTATTCAGATCAGCTTAAAGATCTTAACTTTTAGCTAAATCTCAGAAGCTGGTTACATAGGAATCTTCGGAATGGCCTGTTCGGTGTGGTTGAAGCTAGATTCAGAGTATAGAAACTGTCTAATTGGTGCCAAACTGCTTGAGCTGTAAAAAGATCAGGAATTGAATGGAGGTTCTGCATGTATCTCTCAAAACATAAAACTACCAGTAGAACTCACTAGAATCCTTCCACCAGCCCTTGTCTGAGATACCTCACACTTTTTCTCAGTTTTCTTAGAGCATTTCATATCAACTACTGTACTAGAGTCATAAAAAAAAAAAAGACCTAAAGGGTCCTTAAGTCAGACCCTTGCATAATTTTTATGTGTTTTGGTAACATAGAGACAGGCATCAAAGTAATTAGCAAAATGGAATTCCAGCTTGTGGGAAATATGTTCAACAGTTGGGAAATATGTTCAACAGCTGCAAATGCAGTAAAAAGGAAGGAAGGAGGACCTATTTGAAACCATCTGCACTGCATTATGGTTATGAAATTGTGCTTTTGTAGTTAGGTTCATTAGGAATTCTGATAAGGCCAGCAAAACGGCATGTAAACTCCCTTCTAGTGTCACTGTGGGACAATTGTGGATTACAAGCAATGGACACAGGTGAACTGAGGCTGACATCATCATTTGAACTATGTCCAAAAAAGCCATATGATCACAAAGGCAAACTATCCTCCTCTATAAACATCCTGGAGACCAAAGAGAGTGAACCACTTCTCTTTGACATTCCATTATTATGAAACACCACAGTCACCATCTTTCTCAGCTATTTCCCACAAAGAATGTGTCACACTTCAGGGTGTCAGTGCCCCGTCCACAGAACTGCTCATGTGCTAGAAACTTAAAAAACATTAAAGCTACCATTCAATGGCACAATTGAGAGCTTTGCCATGCTGAAAGATTTTATTCCCTGAAAATCAGTGTGATGAATTGCAACTTTGCTCATGCATAAGGTTTGAAAGCACAAGGGAATTGTTTTCTGGCTAACTGGCTCTTTGGACAGGAAGTCTCAAGAGGAATGGGACCCTTGGTTAAGAAAATGGGACAGAGGAGGAAGAAGGGGAGTGATGCCAAGAAAAGGTCCAATGGCACAGTTTTTGGACAGGTGCCACTTTTCAATTACTAGACTCTTCCTGGCATGTGCCATTTGCTTGGGTACCATTAATGCATCTTTATAAATACATAAAAGCCAAGAGACACGTATCATCCCATAGACCTTCTTCAGATTCATATCAGAACCTAACCCCAAGGGTTGCGTTCTACAGAACTACTTCAAACAATGTTTAATGTCACCATATTGGAAATCCAAATTGTTTACAGTTGTTCTAAATGGCCACACTGGAAGGTAAAGTAAAAAAATTTTCATAGTCTCTCCTGGGAGATAGTCATAGTATTGTATTTGGTCCATAGAGAAATGGTTGTACAATGCCCCAAGCAAAGGAAACATGTGGTGGGCAGGGCTTTGCAAAGATACTGCATCTGGCGTTCTGGCGTTCTAAATAGCACTTCTTAGAAGCATATTAGTAGCTTAACCCTTTCAGTCATCCATACATACTGTATGAGGAGGGCTCAAAGCATCAACATAAATTTCACTGTAGCCCAATCAAATCCCACTACAAAATAAGACGGGGTAATATCAAAACTTTCCTTTATTGCTGCTGTCACAAGTTATGCTACTTATACCAAAATGACACTTTTAAATACCTCATTGAAGGTAAAAAAACAGATGTACAATAGGCGTGTCTAAATCAATCTAAAATTGTAACTACAATATAGAGATGAAAAACAGCCCAAAAAATATTAAAACCAAATTACAGATCTGAGCATGAACTGACTAAAGCCCGACACTTTTTGGTGCCGATTTTCATTAGCACCAGTGGTAGTCAATAGTACTGAGGTTCAATATCAAGTGTACTCCAGAGAATCTTATCTACATTATGACTTGCAAACAGTTAATATACTGTAATCGCAAAAGTCATGTCGGTAAATACTGTAGCTCTTAAACATTAGGTTAACTTCCACATTTTGGCTGGGAGGGACTAGAGCACTGCAGGATTAGGACATGGGTGGCGGTCCATCAGCAGAGTCAGAGCTGACTCATGTAAAATCCAAAGAAAAAGAAACATTGCATTCATCTGCTCCCATTTGTGCAAACTGTAGCAATGCTATCTGTATGCATCTGTCTTGACACTCAGTCACACTAAGCTCCGTGTAACCACAACACACAAAAGCTTGTGTGAGGGAGAAACCCCCTCTAGCTTCAAGATATTACATGTGAAACCAGAGTGTTCAGATCAGTTCAGGCTCATAAATGATTAACCACAAACTTTGAAATTGTTGACAATTCAAATTACCAAAATAAATAGAACATCTAGTAACATTATTAATATTTAAATGTAGTTATAATATTACAACCAGATAATGCCAATGGAATAACACTAATGAAAGCAACTGGAGTAATTTGATGGCAGAAAATCGTAATTATTGTGCAAGCCCTGTTCCAAAAGCTCTGTCAAACAGCAGATTTAGTCCACAAATATTGTACTTGTATCAGTACTAATATTAGTTACTAGTAGGAGCATTTAAAACTCAGCTGAACTCTGATCTTTGGCTTCATTCATCTGGAGAGAATGAGGGCAGGAAAGGGGGGTGCTGAGGGTGCTAGAGTGAATCACATAACAACTAGACAGCTGAGGAGAATCAGAGACCTCCTTCTTTTCAAAAAATTGATGACAACAACAGATATACTCAAAGAATATTCTGCATTAATACATGTCAGCAAACCTTTCAGTATTTCCACTGACTATTCACTTCCTAACTGAGAACATCCCTGATTAGGCATACTTCATGGCCAAATCAGAAAAGCTCCACCAAGGTGTCTGCATGCAAAAATGTTGGATGTGTGGTGCCTATCTGAAGTACTACATTTCATATTGAGAAGCACTGTTAAAGGCCTGTCCATGAAGTCATGGGCACGAGTGTATGAATTACTGGATGTTAGGTTTTCTACATAGTGTGACTGTCTTTATCTACCACTAGGTAAGATCTAGGAGCCCTTTTCATAGCAGAGAACACCTCTTCACCCAAACAACACTGACAATAGTGAAACAGCGAAGGAATAAGGGCAAGGATACAGAAAAAGTATGTTTGGATGTTTTAAAAGCTCCAGTGAAGATGAAAATGTAATAAGAGAAGTTAATTACACCTTGGTAAGGAACATAGTCACTAATCTCCCATAGCAATTTTAGATGATGACAAATTATAAAACAAACAGGCTTAAATTCCTAAGCTTCTTAGTAAGCAGTGACTTTTACTTCAGCCAGATAATTACAGATCATAGAATGATACATTACTGATGTTTAAGTAGATTTACTGTGGAATCTCAAATTCTCTTAAGTTTTGATTAGTTTAGCAGTTTTTTTTCCCATTTGCTCTACATATTTTTATTACGTAAAATATTTGACTTTCTAGTCCTGTGCAAAGTATTAATCATGAGTATAACCCTAGAGCATACATCAGAACACGCCACATTTAGAAGATGTATGAATATATCTGGGAGCTGTATGCTGGTGCTGAAAGTCTAGCTGAGTCTTTGTTGTGCTGTAGCTGTCTACCGGACTGATTGTCCTGGGGCTCTCAGCAGTGCTGAGGCCAGCTATCAGCTCTAATGACACTACCACACAGTCTTCCACTGCTGTAGTAATCTAATCTAACACTACTATTCATTTACATGGCAGCTCGTTTTATCACTGACGTCAGTTCAACAGTTTCAGCACGTCTTGAACATTGAGATTGAGACTAGACTGCTATTTAAATAGACCTGCAAGAGAATCCCCCTGCTCCCTCCTTTCTCCAAAGTGCCTTAACAAAAACATTCCACTGAATTAGACCCATAGGCTGACTCATAAATTTGGACTGTGTTCCCAGCAGAGCTGAAGCAAGAACGTGGCTATGCTTGTGTAGAGATCTAGGGCACTAAATGAGTGCAAATTTAGTTAAGATTTAAACACGTTTACTGAGGTCATGAAAGGCAGGGTAGGAATTGTAGCTCAAGCGTTAGCCAACAGGGAAGCAATCTTCTGCTACAATTTTATTTTTTAATGGCTTAGAAAAACACACCATCAGTGCTGATCAATATGTGATCCAAGACTGACCAAAACAGAAT